AATCAGCCCAAAACTTGCAAATCCAGTCCCAAATCGAGATATTTCAAAGGAAAACCACTAGATCTGGGTTCTAGGTCCTAAAACAAGTCCAAAGAACCTAAGATCTCCAATTTCTACTTTAGTTTTACTCAAAAACCATCAAAATCTGGTTTGAACAAAAAAATAAGTTTTGAAATCTAAAAACTTGAGATTCAAGAGAGGTTCTTTCAGTAATGTTACCTCGAATCCTTCTCTTGATGTTGAAAACACTTTGAAACTCGTCTTTGGCTCAAAATTCGTTTGATTTGGGACACAAAATGGGAGTGAGAGAGAAAGAGAGTGAGCGGGAAAGTGAGAGTGAAGGAGAGAGAGAGAGTGCACGGGAAAGGAAAGAGAAAGGAAAGGAAAAAGAAAGGAAAAAGGAAAAAGAAAGGAAAAAGAAAAGAAAAGGAAAAAGAAAAGAAAATGACATGTGTACAATGTTTTAAAAGAACAGTCCAAAAATGCGCCCATACACACTTCTGGTTTAAAATAAATTATTAAGAATAATTTAAATACCTTGGAACTATTTAAACTCACTCGTGTCAGAAATATTTATTAATTAAACTCAATTAATAATCCAGATTAGGCGCACTAATAATCTCAATTACCTTAATTAATCTCAATTAATTCTTCAGGGTGTTACATCTCCACCCTCCTTAGGCAATTCGTCCCCGAAATTAAAGCCTACCTCACAGTGTGAACAGATACGGATAGTGTTCCTGCATCATCGTTTCAAGCTCCCATGTCGCTTCCTCAACTCCATGGTGCTGCCATAATACTTTTACTAGAGGAATCTCACGATGACGCAGACTCTTTATCTTCCGGTCAAGAATCTGAACTGGTGCCTCCTCGTACGACGCGTCATACTATATTGGAACGTCAAACCACTACACTACAGTTTCCGGCTCAGGTTGACATTTCCGAAGCATGGAGACATGAAACACGTCATGCACGTGAGATAACTCAGGCGGTAAGGCCAACCGGTAAGCCACCACTCCGACTCGTTGCACGATTGGGAATGTTCCCACATACCTTGGTGCAAGTTTCCTTTTCACACCAAACCGAAAGACTCCCTTGCGTGGGGAAACCTTTAGCAAAACAAAGTCGCCTTCCTGAAATTCCAAAGGCCTACGCCTTCTGTCAGCATAACTTTTCTGACGACTTTGAGCTGTCAACAGTTGTTCCCGAATCACAGCTATCTTCTCATTATTCTCTTGAATGACTTCCGGTCCAGTGCTCAGTCGATCCACTGGTTCCAACCAACACACAGGTGACCTACAAGGACGACCATACAGAGCTTCGAACGGTGCCATTCCAATATTGGC